ACTGTACCCAGTGCTTGTATAAATAAATAAATAAATCTTTAAACCAAAACCAAAAACAAAAACGATATGCTGAAGGGCCTCCCTGGTTGAAGGGCAAGGGGTTAAGCACTGCACTGTGAAGAAATAGCAGCCTCTGCAGCACGAGTTCGATCCCTGGCCAACCAGGGGGCAGCCCACATGGCGCAGCAGACCACTCGTGTCTCACCTGCTGCTCCCCTCAGTGGTGTACTTCGGTCAATCTGCCTGTTCTGTTCCCCACTCTGTCTCTGGTGAATCCTCCCATCCTCTCCCTGCCCCCCATGCATCTCTGGCCTGTACCCCAGCTCTTGTATGCAAAAATAAACAAATCTTTAAAAAAAAATGATATGTTGAAGTCCTAACTCCCAGTTCCTATGAATGTGACCTCATGTAGAAAGAGGGTCATTGTTGATGTAATTAAGACAAGGTCATCATGGATAAAAATGGACCCTATAAGAGAAACAAAAGGGAGATTTGGATACAGAGACACAGTGGGGACACAGTGAAGAAGGCCATGTGATAATGGCAGCAGAGATAGGGGTGGTGGTGGTAGTGATGCAACTATAAATCAAGAAATGCCAAAGATTGTGGGGAGCCACTGGAAGCTAGGAAGAGGCAAAGAAGGACTCTCTCCTTTGCAGGGACGTGGTCCTGCTGATTCCTTGGTTTCAGACTTCTAGACCCCAGAAGGGTGAGAAAATAACTTTCTATTGTTTTAAGCACCTGGTTTGTGGTTTTTTCAATAGCCCTAGGAAATTAATAGCTAGTTCAAAAATTTTGCTCAGAGCAGGGCTGGCTGGCAGGGGGAGAAACTGAGAAGCAGAGGGGAAAAACCCCATCTTTCCATACCTCTCCCCTCATTTACTGTGGTCCCCTGCAGCTGAGTCTCCACTGTCCAGGCTCAGACACCTGTGGCTTCTCCAGGAGTTCCTGCCAGGCACGGTGCCCATGGCTGCCTTTGAAATGCATTGCATGCTTGTGCTTGTGTGCGCACTCTTTCTATTCATAAAAGCTGTGCAGAACTTTAAATATGCTTGGCATAGTTAATATAAAACTTTTATGATTTCCTATTTTGCTATCATTTAGACTTATAAAAGAACTTCAAAAATGAGGCAGAGTTCTATACCCTTCACCCAGTTCCCTCTGATACTAACATCTCCCACAACTCCATCACAATTCTGAAACTGAGAAATTAGCATGGTTTCAATACCATTCAATACAGATTTTCTTCTCTATCTGTATCATTTTTTCTCTGTTCCAGGATCTAATCCAGTGCCTCATATTACATGTAGTTGTCCTGGTTCCTTACTCTCCTCCAACCTGTGACAGTTCCTCAGTCTTTCTCAACCCTGAGATATTCTAAGAGTACTGGGCAGTTACTTCATAGAAGGCCCTTAATCTGGGTTTGTCTGGTGTTTTATCATTTAGATGGAGGTTATATATTATTGGAAAGGATGCCACAGAACTGGGGTGCGTCCCAGTGCATGCTATCAGGAGGTACACAATGTCAATAAATCTTACTACTGGGGATGTTAACCTCGACCACCTACTTAAGGTAAAATTGGTCAGCTTTCTCCATCCTAAAGTTATCATTCCCCCCTTTTTCATTAATAAAAATGTTTTGGGGAAGAATGTTGGAGACTTCTACACATACTTTTTCTTTAACTTCCACCCACTAGGCTTAATATATATAGGTGGATTTTGTCTGCAGAGATCTGGTTTTAATGGTGATTCTGTGTTTCCTCATTCCTTCTACATTTGTTAAGTTGAATTCTTCTAAGGGAGATTTGTCAGAAATATTTCTTTTGTGACATTAGGGAAGAGTTTTACAAGGATGTAATGAGAACATGAGAGCAACCTAACTCCACCTGGATAGTCAAGGAAGTCTTCCTGGAAGAGGAGCTATTTAAGCTAATTCCTGTGGGATCAAAAGAAATTAGCAGAGCAAAGGACTGGGGAGTGGATGAGGAAAGATGAGAATGTGAAAAAGGAGACTGTTCCAGGTACATGGAATAGCATGAGTTATCAACACCCAAAGCTGAGAGAGACAGTGTGAATCTGCATGATTGACTTTGATTAGGTAGAAATCTTGACCAGCTGGAGGTACTTCCTCATTGAAGGAAGCAGCTGCTTATTAGTCCAGTCAAAGTTTTGTCAAATGTAAATGAGGGCCTAGAATTGCTGAGTTTCTGGTATTCAGGAGAGTCTGGACATTGGATTTTTTTTCTTTAAAATTTCTCAATATTTTAAATATTGGCAAACAATCCCATTCTTTTTAAAAGCCAAATAAAACCTGTGAGCAATGATGGTTGCTTTTTTTCCCCCCAAGACTTCATTATTTCAGAATAATTTTAGGTTCACATCACAGCAAGATTGAGATTTCCCATACACTTTCTGCCCCAACCCCACTCATAGCCTCCCTTCTATCAACATCCACCACATTTACTACAGTTCATGAACCTACATGAAAACATTGTACCACCCAATGTCCATGGTTTATACCAGGACTCACTCTGGTGTAAAATCTATAGGTTTGGACAACATGTATGATAACATGCGTCTACCATGAGAGTATCACACAGAGCAGTTTCATTGTCCCAAAAATCCTCTGTGCTTTTGCCTACTCACCCCTCCTCTCCTCCCCCAGCCACCTGCCAGCTGTTGGGTTTTCACCTCTGCAAGCCCGAATCATTATTTATCCATCTTCTATGGCTGGACCTTGCATTTCTTTTTTTTTTTTTTTAACTTGTACTCTTATTTATTTAGAAAAGCAAAAATAATAACAAGAAACAAACAAAACAGTAAAAATGACATCTTTTTAAAATTTTCTATATTTTTATATCATTGTTCCTTTAATATTTTATTTTATATAATTCTTACATCATTTTTCATTTTTGCACAATGTATGCATTTTCATTTTGGTTATATTCCCCATACAATTGCACCCCCCCTCCCTTATTTTTACCCTAGTCTTGCCTCTCCCAACCGCCCCCCCCACCCCGTAGTGTGTCTCTGGTTTATAGTTGCTTGCTGCTTTTGATTTTCACTTTGTATTATTAATTTAATCTATTTATTTATTTATTTATTTATGCATACAAGAACTGGGGTACAGGCCAGAGGTGTGAATGGTGAGAGGATTCACCAGAGTGGGGAACAGAACAGGCAGACTGACTGAAATACACTGCTGAGGGGAGCAGCGAGCGAGACAGGAGACGTCTGCTGTGCCATGTGGGTTGCTCCCTGGCTGGCCGGGGATTGAACTCGTGCTGCAGAGGCTGCAGATTGCTTTACAGTGAGGTGCTTAACCCCTTGCACCACCAGGAAGGCCCCTGGACCTTGCATTTATTTTCAATTGTTCACTGTTATAAGCTATTCTGTAGTGAACATCCCAGACAAACAAACTTCACACTTTCTCTATGAAAGTTTGCTCTGGAGCATCATTTGTGGTCTGTCCTCACATGGCCAGACCCAGTGTTCTTTCCAGGACCCTTTCTTTCACCGCTCAGTCCTCATGCTCCCCTGATGCCTCAGTTCTTCTTCTATGTTGCCAACTACTCTTCTTTTTCCCTCAAGGTCTCACCCAACTCCATGTGTGACCACGTGGGAGTCCACACCCTTACTAAGGAGTCTGTGAGGTGATCAGGATTGAGGTCTCAGATCCAGAAGGGGCTCACCTCTCACTTGGGTTGAAGGGCACATCTGGTCCTGATCTTGGAGGCATTTCAGGCCAGAGCTCAGTCTGCTCTGACCTAGCTTGCTCTGCTGATCTGCTTCCTGGAAGGGAAGGGCCCAAGGCCAGCCCTGCAAGCGCTCTTCTTGCTGAAAGGGCAGCAAATACATTCTTGGTGGATTCACTGAATTGCTCTGATAAGGCTGGTATGGAGGAGATAAGGAGCTCAGACCTGATGCCAGAACCCAGAGAGGAATTCCCACCTCATGGGGAAGGAAGAAGCTGGGATCCAATGCTAGAGCTGCCAGGCAGGGGCCATTGCCCCAGCTCTCTGGCCTTGCCCAGCTTTCTTCCCATGGTGCCCTCTTGTGCCCCTGCCTTGTGTTATATGGGTTGTTTTTTTACAGTGGAAATCAAAAGCCAGCCTGACACATGGAAAGGGAATGAAAGGTCAAGAGGAAGGACAACTTTCCTTGCCCCTAAAGCTCCTATTCAGGGAGACAAGGAAAAAACTTTCTTGCTTGCTTGTCATGAAGAAGCTTTTGTCTGTGTCCAGGCAGGAGGTGAGGGTGGTACCCTCCTCCTGATGCTGCTGCTGCTGCTTCTGGAGAGGGTAGGGGGGATGACTCATGCTTTCTGGGTCTCGGATAGGCTTAAATGGAATATCAAAAGCAATAAAAGTTACCATAAAAACAATAATGTCCCTATTTACTCTGTGCCAGGCTAAGGGGACCTCATGCATGATCTCATTTAATCCTCATGTCAGTTCCCAGAAGTTCAGGTTAATAGCCCAGTTTCAGGATGAACTGCAGGAAACTGCTCAAGAGTTACATTAAGGTCAGACCTGTCCGTGCGGAAAGCTTGGCTACCACTGTGTACAGGAATGCCCCCTCCTCTGTTCACACACACCCACCTGACTCTCATGTTTCCTCCCCTCCCAGGAGCCTGAGAGCACATGTCACCACCATGAAAACATGTGCCCTGCCTCCCTAGGCGGCGGGGTGGGGTGGGGGGGAGGATGCTTCACGTGAAGCGAGGGCACCAAGTCTCCGTACGTTTCAACATCCTGAGTCTGGGTCCTCAAGTGAGATGACCTTCACTGATCCACCACATCACAATTCCTCTCACCTGGGAAAGGCTTTCTCTAGTGTTTGTGTTTCTTCTAACTCTCCCTGCCTTTGTGGTTTACATGGCTTAAATGCACTCAGACATTGGTGATTAACATAATGAGCACTATTTCTAACAGGGCTCTTTGGAGGCGCATAAAATCCTGTATTATCTGCATTCATTTTTTTTCATTCATTTGTTGCAGCTCACTGAGTACTTGCTGCACCTGCACTGCTAGTGGGGTAGACACTCCTCCATGAGCTGAGATGTGGCCTCTGCCTTCCTGGGCTTATATTCCTGTGGGAAAAGTCCTGTATGAAAGACCAGCAAAAATTATCCTTATAAAAAGGATTAGATACAAAACCACGTGGGTTTTATCCCAGGAATGCCAGGTGAGTTTAACATCTAGACATCTCTATCTTAATAAACTTAAGGACAAAGCCACATGATCATTTCAATGGTCACAGAAAAGACTTGATAAGATCCAATACCCTTTCATAATGGAAACACTCAACACACCAGGAATGGAAGGGAACTTCCTCAGTTTCATGAAGGGTAGCTATACATGTAGTTAACTCATCCCTGATGTGCAAAATGGAATGTTTTCCCCAAAGATCCAGAAGACAAGGGTATTAACATCATACTCAAGGTTGTAACCAGAGCAACTAGGCAAAAAAATGAAATATGAGGCATCCAGCTTACAGAGGAAGAAGTAAAACTATCTCCATTTATAGATGACATGATCTTTGTAGTGCAGGCAGGCAGTACGGCAGAGCAGGGAAAGGAGAGTCCTGGAGCCCTCAGTGGTTTTTTAGGCTTTTAATGATCTTTTTTTAAAAAAAGATTTATTTTATTTTTATACAAGAGCTGGGGTACAGGCGAGAGGCGCAGGAGGATGAGCGGATTCACCAGAGACAGAAGAGGGAACAGAACAGGCAGACTGACTGAAATACACTGCTGAGGGGAGCAGCAGGTGTGACAGGAGAGGCCTGCGGCACCATGTGGGATTCTCGCCAGCCAGCCGGGATGGAACCCGCACTGCCGAGGCTGCAGACAGCTTCACAGCACAGCGCTCAACCCACTGCGCCACCGGGGAGGCCCTCTACACAATTTGTATTGAGTCAACCAGGTTCAGGGCAGGCAGGGGTGCTGGGGCTGGCAGGCCTACCTGTCCCCTGGTGAATCTTGAGCATTCTGGACTCTCCAGCATTCTCCCAAGGTCTCTCCACTGGTCTCTGCCACCTCATCCTCTCTGGAACTCTTATAGCCTCGACCTCCAGGCTCAGGTGTGCCCACACCATACTCCAGGTGTCCTCCATCAGGCATGTGTACCCCGAGCCCACCTCCCAAGCCCACGCTCTCAAACCCTTCCTGAATTCAAGGCCGCAAGTGATAGCCACAGAGGCCAACGGCGCAAAAGCCTGAGAAATCTTCATTTACCCTACAGTCTTATATATGAAAATCCTAAGGAATTCACTAAAAATGATCAGGGCTAGTAAATGAGTACAACAAGGTGATGAGAAAAGAAGCCAATATTGTTTCTGTCCACCAGTCATGAAAAGCCCTCTGTAGGGTAAGTAAAAAGTATCAGGCTTTTCTACCCTCCTGCCATTAGATTAAATGCATGCCTGATGGCGGACACCTGGAGTAGGGTGTGGGCCTGCATAGGTGGGCGTACCTGAGCCAAGATACTGGGCATATAAGGTCAGGACTCGAGAGGAACAGAACCACAAGAAGGCAAAGAAGCGAGAGAGCGGAATGGAACCAGAAAGAGAATGAGATCATGAGAGAACAGTAGAGAGCCCAGGAAGAGTTAAGATTCCAGCCTCCCGGCCCCCTGGCACCCCTACCTTCCGTATACCTGGCAGAATCCCAAAAAAAGCCTGAAAAAGCCGCTGAGGTCTCCAGGACTCTCCTTTACCCATCTGCTCGGATCATAGAGATCCTGCTCTGTGCCCTTCCTACCATTACACCCTCAAATAAAATCAAGAAAACAATTATAGTAGTAGTAATATTATATAAGAATAAAATGCCTGGGAATAAATTTAACAAAGGAATTGCAAGACAGATACTTCGAAAGCAACACTCTAGTGGGAACCATTGAGAAACCGATGTCAGCTTGACCAGTCCTTACATCAGGGAGGAGAGGCAGACTTGAGGTCTCAGCAGTTTTGGCCAGTTTAGGACCCTAGAACTCCATGCCCTTCTGCCTGCCTGCCTGCCTTCGGCGTCCTTTTGCTCCACTTAGGGAGGGGATTCTGGGAGCCTTGCCCATAATAGCCCTACAATGAATGCCTGCACTTCTAATTGCGTAGGTGGGAATTCAGTGGTATGAAGTCCAAGATGGCCTCTCATTTTGAGAAAAGGGAGAGACACTCATCAGAGGAGCCGTTTCAGGCCTTGGGAACGGGCTGCACTTTGGAATGTAAGGTATCTACAGCTTCCTGCTTCTGGTAGAAATGCAAGTTTTGTTTTTTCTCCAGCCAATTTTTTATTTCAGGACAATCTTAGTTTGTAGAATTTATTACAAAGATAGTACAAAGAGTTCCCCTGTACCTTGCACCCAGTTTTACCTATTGTTAACATCTTAATTGGTTCGGTACATTTGTCGCAATCAAAGAACCGATATTGATACATTATCATTAACTAAAGTCCATGCTGTATTCAGATAGCCTTACTTTGTCTCTGATGTCCTTTCTCTGTGCTCTGACCCAGTCTAAGCTACCACAGCGCCTTTCGTTATCACATCTCCTTGGGTTCCTCTTGCTGGCAGTAGAAAGGCCGGTTACTTTCATCATGGGACTAGAGAAAGCACCTGAGCTCTGGAGTCAGACAGACCTTGACTCAAAATCAAGCTCTGCCCACACTATGTGGGGACTTAGAGTCATTTATTTAAGTCCCCTGAACATGCTTTCCTCATCTGTGAAATGGAAGCAATAATATCTAACCTGCAGCGTTGTATTCTGTGAGATAATATACGGGGGACACTCAGTGCAGGGTCTGGCGCAGCATGTTCAGCAATAAGAATATTAGCAATGTGTCCACCTCCTCCACCACCCTTCTCATGCTGGAGCCCCTCCTAAGCCATTGCCTCTTCCCCTCCCCATATACACTGTACTGTACTGTGCAGAACCTGACCCAGGGCTGGAATAGACAGCAATACCTATTTAATACCTGCTGCCCTGCTGTGGCTGAGTTTCCCCCCAAGTCTTTTCCAGTCAAGCATACTGGTCCGTACTGGTCATCATGCTGACCTACTTGTCGGGAATGCACAAAGCTGTATGCCCTTGGCCTTGAGTCAGCACCCTGGAGCTCTGACATACTCCTGCCCCAACCTGGCCCCACCCTAGTCTGGCCCTTCTGGTGAGGGGATAAGCCTTCTGCTTGTCTTTTGGGGATTATCAGCATACATTAATGAACTTTGTCCCATTCTTCTGTCTGCCACTCTCTGTAGACACCAGTGGAAACTCTCTCGGAGGGATAATAAGTCCATGTGCTTGGAACATTGTATGCATTTCTGGGAATGTGTATTTGGTGTGGGTGCAGGTGCAGGCCCATAAAAGTATGGGAGGGGGTGCACATGTGTGTAGTATTCATGTGTAAGTATTCATGCCCACAGTATACGAGAATTTATGATGGGTGTTTGTGGGTAAGTATGTATGTGGGCAAGCCTGGCAATTTGTGTTACATTGAGTGTGTGCGTGGAATGGAAGTGTGCATGTGACTGAGTGTGCATTTGTAGCTGTGAAGGCATGTTCAACAGAGGAAGGAATCATCACAAATCCATTGTGCCACATACCCAGGCTCAGATGCAGAAGCAAATCAGATGAATGCAACCTTCCCTGTGGTCATGGCCCTGTACCTATGTGCACACAGGGATGGGGCCCCAACTACCTCCTGGGCTAGCAGCACCTCTATATCTATCCCCGAGCTAGAGGTAGATACAGGGAACATGGAAAACAATATCTTTTTACCAAGACTATGGCCTGTGGTGGTAGTTCCTATTCATGCATTGAAAGTTGTCTCCTGAGGAAGAGGCTCTGGAAGGAGGGAGAACAGGCACAGGAGAAAGATGTTCCCATTCAGGATCACGGCACTCCAGGGTAGCTCTGCTTACACCTGAGACACTGCACAAAGTTCTGAAAGGAATTGGATGTTCCCAGGCTGGCCCAGGGAGCAGGAGCCATTTCAGGGAGCTGTAGGCCCTGCAGGATTCGGGTCAGGGGGTTGGGCTTGGAGGCCTCCCTGCCCAAGGTTTCCCTTATAATGCTTTTTCACTTTCTGTTCCCTGCTCCTCACCTCTCAAGAAGGCTTCAGCCAAAGTCCAAGTTTATAAAACATGCCTTTTATTAAAGCTCCTATCTGAACACACCCTCCTTAGATACAGTGGCTTACCCACTTAACTCCCCCAAAACTTTGCTTAAATGTCACCTTCTTAAATAATTCCCCTTTAAATTGTGCCTCCATTCGGCCCTGCCAACTTGCTCTACATTCTTTATCTCTCTTGTCCTCCTCTGTTGCTCCCCAAAACTCTCATCAGCTTCTCACATAGTGTGGACCCATACTGCAAGAACAGGAGCATAGAAACTTCTATGCTACAGTTTTTAGAGAGAACATATATCTATAGCAATTTGACATTGCCCGGAAATCCAGATACAGACTGGGAAAGGATGCTTCGTGCCACAGAGGCCTTAAGAATTATTGTTCTAACACACTCTAAAATGGATTCAGTTTCCTGATTGTCTAGTTCTGCTGGCAGAGTTGTGTTTGTTTTATTTCTCACTATCTCCGCGGCACCTGGAATAGTGTCTGGCACATAGTGGGTGCTTAACAGATACCTGTTGAATGAGTAAAAGTGGAAGAGGTGATCTGAGAGGGTGAAATTTTATCAGAGGAACACACGGTGGGGAGAGCAGCAACTGCCCCCTCTCCGTACCCCCCATGGCTCACTCCTGCCGGCTGTGAGCACAGCGCTCTTGGACTGAAGCCTGTGATTGTTCTTGGGACTCAAGATTGTTCTTGGGATTGACTGGGAACTGTTGTCCTGATAAAAATCGTGCCGCCTCCACCCTGCCCTTGCCCCTGCCTCGGCCTGTTCCCAGAGGGAATCCAGGGCTGGCAAGGCTGAGCAGGAGCAGCTCTCTTGGGGTGGAGGGAGTACTGGTTCCACCTGCTGTTCCCACGGCTGGGGCCCACCTGGCCGGCAGTGCCTGGGCCTGCCTCATGGGTCAGCCATCTGGCAGGGCTGGTTCTGGGCTCACACACCCATAGCCGCTGCTCAGCCATTCCTCTCCACCTTGGTCCAAACCCTGGGGCTCAGCTTCTCCTTTTCTGACCCCAAGACTCCACCCACAGAATAGCTTGTGTCCTCCTCTAAATCCAGAGAATGGTGGGGATTTGGCAGAGGAGGAGGGGCCGAAAGACCCTAAAAGGCTCTTATCTGGGCACATGTGGACCCAGCATGGATCAAGGGAAAACCTCCATATGGTTGAAAAAGTCATTTCTGCTTCTTACCTACTTTCTTTTAAGCAAGCAGAGCTACAGATTAGTGTCTGCTAACCAGCATTCCCCTGCCGGTTTCCCCTCCCCCCTCATCCAAGTCCTGGGGACCATGAAGGAAGCAGGGGAGGGGAGGCTGTCAGGAGGAAGTTATGCTCAAGCTGCCTTTTGATGGATGAGTTTGGAGTTAAATAGGCCAAGAGAGGAGAAAAGAGATGAAGTAGGCATTCCAGAGAAAAAGGAACAGCATGGGCCAAGGCCTGGAGGCAAGAGTGCCCACAGCATGCTCAGAATGCTCTGGTCATTATCTGCCTGGGTGTGCACAGGATGATGATGGAATCCAGAGGAAGGAAAGGAGACGGGGCCAGTTCTTGTCCAGAATCCTCATTTATGCAACACTTATGAGCACCTCTGTGTTTGGCTCAATAGGGGCATTAAGATGGAACAGATGGTGAGAACACAGAGATGTTTAGACACATAATTTACCTTATTTATCACTCTACCTCCAGTGCCTGCCATAGTGCTGGGCCCATGGCAGACACTCAATAAACTCTGTAACTAAGTGAAAGGGTACAGAATGAAATAGCACAGCCACTTACAGAGAAATATGATGGAGTAAAGAGAGAGGCGGAGACACCTCCGGAGGCAGAGAAACTAACTCTAGGGCAAAGCCTCTGGGAAGGACTGTCTTTATTTTTACATTTAAGGCTGCTATAGTTTTCAGGGTAAGCCTTGCTGTGGCTAGTGCAGGTAGTCTCTCTGTGGTTGAGATTTTGGTATTTTTGCTGCTGATGCAATAGGCTGTGAAGATTTCCACAGTGCATTGTGTTGAGTAAGCAGAGGTTGCTGAGGAGAGACTGGGCAGGGCCTCCTGGAGCCAGAAAAGAAGGCCAAATTGATGCAACAAGAGGCAAACCTGCTCAGAGAAATGTCTACATTATTTCCCAACCACGCCTGGAATGTGGCCCCAGGTAGGAGCCTTTGGACTTGCAAGAGGCACTTATCTGGGGACAGTTCATGACATTTGACCAGCTCAGAATCGAAAGCTGACAGACAGGCCCTCAGAGTAGAGGAGAATGTGTCTCTGCTACCATGGAGAGGCCTGGCTCTCTAGGCTCCCAGGAGGTGACGGCCAGAAGCCCCGCCCCTCCAACTCTGGGTCAAGTTGGAGATCTGCTGGTGGGTGAGAGCAGGCTGCAAAGAACATGTATGCCACGAGCTGGCCAGCCCCATGGTCCAGCCTCTGTGTTGACATCTCCCCACCAGGCCCCTTGTTTGGGCACATCTGTTCCAGGGGAGGGGGTTGGATTATAGTAAGTAGCCAGAAGCAGCTGCTCCATCTGCCACCAGTGGAGAAAAATGGCAGCTTTATTGGTCTCTAGCTCCAAGCTCACCTGGGAGACATGAGGAACTGTAGTGACAGCATTTCTTTCCTTTTGGGAGACCTTATGCCCAGCTGTAGTAATGGTGAGGTTAATGAGGCCTTCAGGTCCCACCAAACTGAACCCAGCTGCCAATGCTCCTGGGACGCTGGAAAACCGTAAGCAGATGTGGTGCCCAGGGCTTACTTCTCAGGCTAGGCCCTCCAGCAACCTGCAGGTCAGATGGTGAAAAGTTCTAGTTCAGAACAAGCCAGGGGAGGTGTGTTGGCGCTCTGGGCTGGCTCTGGGTGCAAAGAGACTGTCAGCTATAGAGAAGTTGGTGTGTCATCCTGAGAAATGGGAGCCCACAAGTGTGAATGCAACAGACACCACTTCTAATCATGACCATAAGGCCCACTGGTGCGGCGTTTGGTGATGACCCATGGTTGACCTTGGGCTTAATATGGATGCTATGATAAAAAAAAAAAAAGGTGCCATTGAAATGAACATTTAAAGAGGGTGAATTTTCAGGTATGTAAATTATATCTCAATAAAATTTAAAAAGGATGCTCAGAGCTTGGTTGCTGGGTGCTTTTCTCATGTGTTAGATCCAGGGGTGCAGGTCTCTGAAGTCACTACTTGGGGCCAAATTTTTGGGCAGCAAGATCTTTTCAAGGACATTGTCCACTGGTCAGGTCCTTGCTGGAGCTAGGAGACAAGAGGATGGCACTGCAAACCAGCTGGGTCCCCTGAGGCAGTGGAGTGGCTTCAGCCATTTTTTGGGTGGCAGGGTCCCAATCTGCTGGCCCATCTGGCACTTCTCTCCCAGCCCTTTGGGTCTGATACACACAAGGGCCAGGGAAGAGCTAATGATTAACCAGGAGGTGAGGGAGAGGAGAAAGGCTGGAATAACGCTCACAGGTTACCTTCCCGCTCTCTGGGGCAGTGTGGGGCCCCTCTGGGAGGCATCCTGGTGCTGATCATGGTGGCACCGGCTGGGGGCAGGGCAGGCAAAGCAAGACTGTAACTTGCAGAGCAACTCGGTCTCGAAAGGGTCCTGTAGAACCACCTGTGGTACCCAAGGTTGCCCCCGATGGCTTAAGCCCCCTCATCACAGGTGCCTGGGCACATAGGCTAACACTCCTCTGTCCAGGGCTGGCCCAGAAAGAACTTCATCAGGATGAATTTCAAAGTGCACTCAGAAGCCTCCTCAACCCCTTTCTGAGAAGAACGTGCTCCTCACACCCAATGGTGACTATGTGGCTGGAATGCCACAGTGACCTGCAAAGGTACCAGTCAAAGGCTACTGGTGCCCCTCATGCCTTGGTCTGTGACACATGCTGAGGCACACACATGCACAGACACATATACAAACATACATGCATGCACATGCGCTGGACACACCAGCATTGTTTTCTTCATCTGCCTCTCCTGGGTCTGTGCCAGGGAAATTTAATAATGACTATTGACAGATTAGCTTCTGCAGAAACACAAATGTTTGATAGCTACTGGTCAAAGGTGCTGGGGATGGGACAGTGCACTTGTTAAGACTATTGTACCAAGGTCTGAGCTGCCCAAGGCTCTTCTGGAGGGCAGGTGGACGTGAACAGGAACCACTTTGCCAAGCTATTCCTTGAAACACCCCACCATAGGCACAGCCATTTTGTTTGGACATGTGTCTGCTAATGTAGCTGGGGGCTGCTGTAGCCCAACGTAGAGTGGCGGGAGCAGGAGTCCCACTATTCAGCCACTTCTGAGGACTAGGCCTATATCATAGGGAAAGCAGCCTCTCCACATAGCCCACCCACTCCAGGGCCTGGTAGGCATTAATGCTGTCCAGGTGGCGGGAGGCAGGTTGGAGAGGCTGGTAGCGCCATGGTCAAGGGGTGGGGCTTGTTGCCTCTCCATTGTGCTGGCAGGGGAACCTCACATGGAGAGACCTCCCCATCTTCTGGGGCCCATTGCTATCTGCAAAGTTGCTAAAAGAAGTCCTTCGATGTTCCCATTTCTGCCACCTGTTCGATTTTGTCTCTTGTAGGCAGGGAGGCTGGTGCAGGAGGACCTGTTCTCTAAAGTGGGCTAATGATACCTGCCAAGTGCCTAAAGAAATCTGGCTAACTGCAGCTTTGAGGACAGCTCTGCCTGCCAGCCCACATCCTGATTGGGAACCTCACTGTGTTGTCTGGCCCGTAGAGGCGGGACTTGTTTCTGAACAGAGAACATGTGAGATTGAGGCATTTTCTTTTAGAGATTGCAGTGCTATGCCTTTCTTGGCATGGGGCAAGAGAGGAAGCCACAATAGACTGGAAGGTGGTGCCCAATTACATGTCACCTCTGCCTTGTGTCCAGAAAACATGCATGGTGCCTGGTCTCAGACAAGGACTTCCAATGCTGGTGGGGCAGGGGTCGGGGGGGAGATAGGGAGCCACTTTAGTCACCCAGTCCTACTGTGGAGTAACTTAGTGTGTGGCTGAATACAGTCAGGACATAGTTTCCTAAAGAGGATGCCTACCTCTCCCACCCTCCCAGTGTAAGAAATGTTCTCTGTAAAAGATGAGACAGCCAACCATGCCTGCATTCCAACTCTCTATCATGCAGCCTCATAAAATTCCTAGGACGTCCCTTGGATCCTTGGAGATTATACTGTGTACCATCCTGACTTTGCCTTGTCGGCTGGTAACACATGATGATAAAATGAAAACTCTTCACTGCTCATGTATGAGAAATGACAGTGACATTGGGCTGCCATTTCTTGAAATGCCCTGGCCAGTGTTTAAGAGCCAAGGCACACAGGTGTTCAGGGGGGTGATGATACAGTTCAGTGCCAAGTCGTTGGAGACTATGACATGGGAGGCCTCCCAAATCCTCACCCCTTTCCCTTGCTCTATTAGTGTAGGCTCTTACTTGTTCAAAGACACCACTTTAATTATTATTTTTTTTTATTAAAATACTGTTATACCCAGTGGAATGCAGCAGCAATCCTGGTACAGGGTGGCATAACAAAACAGCCATGTTTACATTTTAAATATTTACGATAACTTAAACATACAGACACACATCATGGTCTTTGGCAGAAAACGTTCACAGCACAAAAAAATACTTTAAAAGAAATACCAAATATTAATCCAAAATATATTAAGTTGTTTTTTTTCTTTCACAATATTTTTTGCCTTTTTTTAAAATCTTTTTTTTGTCTTTTGCTTTGTAAACAATGCACATGAACCAAATGTATTTTTTCAGTTTTAAGAGGGGTAGGGGATTTAAAAAAATATGCAATTGTCCAGCAAATGCAAATGTTTAAAAAGAAAACTTGAGGAACCATGGGAATAAAATAGTAACATACACAACCAAAAAACAATAAAGGAAAAAATAAAGATTCAAGAACTAAAAACAGTCAAGACAAACTCCTAAAACCCACCAATTGCTTCTGGGGCTGTATCAGGGGACTCTTTAAGACCAGCCAGTCACTGTTGCTGGCAGGCTGCCACCTGGACGCCTCCCTCTGATTGCAAAGCACTGGCCCAGCTCAGGGCCATGAGCACATAGAGTTTGAGGGGAACCTGGGGGTGCCATTTTGTGATGGGAGTGCTATTCAGAGACTGTTCGAGTCACATCCTGTAGCTCACTGATTAATTTCACCAATATGGCTCCCTCTCTCGGTCCCTCCAGATGGGAACAGCTACTCTGATACGAAAGAGGCAAGTTCTCCAGTTTCCTTCGAGAGAATTGGTGCTGAGAGGCCCACCAAGGCAGATGTCCATGGGGGGGCTCATTTCATCTGGCTCAGGGTTCATAATCAAACTGACAAGATGTCCCAGGGACAGGAGATGTGGAACCAATTCAAGAGGCTACTGATGTTGGGGAGTGGGGCAAGGGCATTTAAAACAGGGCACAAGACAGAAAAACAGTCAATATCCCGTGGATCAACCAGCATCAAAATCCATGGGCCATGAACTTGGGAAGGGGAAATAACAGGAGGTTGTTCAGAAGATACCGGAATGGTGACAGCAGGAATAGGAACACAGAGCAAGGGACCAAGTCTGAAGCAGCATGCCTCACTTCTGCTCCACAAGAAAGGGATTATATACACAGCATACCCCAGTCCATTTCAATGGCCTCTAGCCCACTCCGAGTGAGGAAGTGAGCAAAAAAATTAAATGGCATCTGCTCAACAGTTCCCTAAAGAAGCAAGTCTTAGTAACCCAAGGAGGCAGCAAGGAGCTGAGGAGTATGAGATGGGCCTGGATCACACTTAACCAGAGGGGAACAACAGGCCATTTTGATTATGGAACCAGGCCATCTGGTGTCCACAGGCGGTCAGCCTCAGAAACCAGACCCCCAATATTACATATCTCCTCCCTCCCTACCCGAGTGCCAACTCCGGTGCAGAAGGGGCTCGGCTCCCTTTGAACTTTCAGTTGCTACCTCAGCAACAAGCTTTGAGTGGTAGGTAAAGGCTGACTCATCCTTCTCCATGGGCCCGGGAGGAAGGTGGGGCTAAGAAGCAGGGTCTGCCAGGATACAGGCGCTCTCCCGGCTTTCCTCTCCCCTGAAGCATCCTTCCTAAGCTCCTGGGACAAGATGGCCAATGAGTACCCATTGGGGAAGGTGGGAAAGCAGCAGTTGGAAGAGCTGCTGAATGGGCATGAATGGCAGAGGAGAGCAGGCCATGGCTGGGAGTGCCCAGGGCACCATCTCCTTCAGATCAGTATCTCCACCATGTCGGACAAGTCCTGCACCCTGGAGGTAGCCACAGAGTCTGGAGAGAAAGAACACAGACACATGCCAGTGAGTGTTACCAGACTGTTCTTTTAAATCTGGCACATTTTTTTAAGATCACATCTTTCTTCATCAACTTTTCCCTTTGTACACTGCTCCGGTGCCCAGCGTCCTATAACCTGGCTGATGGAGCACAATGCCCTGCTCCCTGGCAGTACTCTGCCCAGGCCATCAACCTCTGATGTGGAAGCCATTTGTTTATAACTCTGAACTGGTTGGAGAGCTTGGAGGGAGGGGAGCACCCCAAGGGAGGCAGGCTCAGCATTCTTTTCATGCTTGTGGTTTTCTGAGATGTGAGGCACAGGGAAATATGCAAAGGCTAATGTGAAAGGGGAGCAAAAAAATTAAATGGCATCTGCTCAAATTTCTCCTTCCTGGACTTTTAAACAAAGTCTTCTAACTGTGAGAGCCACCAAGATAACTCATCAAGCTCTACTATCATGGCTATTTCATCTGGCAATTAAATATGTAAGGAGGACTAAGAAAAGGGAGAAAAAGGGCAGTTTCTTTCTGAATTCTGGATCTGTCTGTAATCAGGGTTTTCAGTTCCTCTATTCATGAATTCAATCAGCATTCCTGTTCAGATTGAGATGGATATACACCCGCTCCCCTGGAGTGCAGGCAATGAAGGGAGAGGTCTGGGATGAAAGGGCCTGGCCTCCAAGTCACAACCCAGGAAATTTCAGCTCCCTCCTGTCTCCCCCCACCCCACCACTCCCCAGACACAGGGCAAGTGAAGATTTACCCATTGAGGCTGTCCTCTGGCCACTGCTGCACCCTGGAAAGCTGTCAGTCTCCAGTCCCAGGCAGGCAGCGGTGTTGTCAGGGGGACCATCAGTCTGGGTGCTGCCATCTCTGCTCCCATGTTTGGCATGAGCAGGGAGGGAGGCTAGGGCCATAGGCTCTTCAGAGGAGGTTCTGTCTGCTGGAAAGACAAGAGATTTAATGCTTATTATCTTGTCTACAAGATGTGCTTCCCCTAATAAAGAATGCCCCAAGTTAACTGTATCTAATGGGAGCGTAGTATAGGTATAGGTTGTTCTTGATTTGCAAAACCTTCCATTAAGACACAATGCTTCTGTTTCCATGGGGATTAACTATCAGGTTGGATTGGTTTGTACAAGTTTTGAGAGTTTTGAGTTCTTTGTAGACTAAACCTTAAATCCAACAGGGACTCTAGAATGTCTGGCATCTGCTTAAATGGAGGAGTGGAGGGGCTTTGCCTAGGTGTATCTGCACAGGAAACTATTTTTACTTAGATGGTAAGGGTTTGGGGCAAAGAGTGATGAAATTTACAGGGATGTACTCTATAGCTGTGGGCTGTGGGGCCCCTTGAGCCAAAGGACAAGCTGGTTCCCCTGGGCAAGGGGTCAGCAAGCTCTGGTTCCGGAGCCTTCATCTGGGAGGAAAGAACAAAGAGCAACCTACTGTCTACCTGTGCTACCCATCAGCTGCCTCTCACCTGTAGCCAGCCGGGCAGGAGCATCCCCTTGCTGCTCACTCGAGGAGAGCCCTTGCCAGCCCGGGGTGCCTGCTGCTGCAGCTGCGAAGACAGATGGCACAGACTTGGCGGGCCGCAGGGAGCACTGGGTGGCCTTGCCGGGCTCTTTCCTCGAGCGCTGCTGAAGGACCTTTATCACTGCATCCTTCTCCAGGATCTGGGCATGGAGCACCTTTAACCTGGGAGACAAGGCCAAGCCTACACGGTCAGCCCCACAGAGCCAGTGGTCTCCACCCTTCCCACCTTGTAAAATACGGAAGAAAAGCCCTGCCACCAACCAGGCTGGACCCTCTGGTCCTTGTGGCAGGGGCTGAGAGGAGGCCTTCAGAAATGTCATCACAGCTCTGGAATTTGATATTTTGGAAACTACCAGTGGGCCACAGAGAAATCTTGTGGGGACTCTGAGGTGGTTTTTGCAAAGAAAATACTCGCCACCGCCAAGCCTGGGTCCAAATCCACATTCTATCTGGAGTGGTACATGGACCCAGCTGGAACGTCTTTCTCTTTGATATTCATGGGGGTACAGGGAGCATTCAACACCTCCAAAGACAGGGACTCCGGGCAGCCCAGGGCTAAGTGGGTATCTCTGGGGAAGAGCATGCATATGATGCCAGGCATGGGAACACATGGGTCAGCTCAGGAGCAGGAGGGGCTGCTGCTGAGCCACGTGGAAAGAGGGATCTGTTTATCATGGATTAAGGGCAGGTCAGGGACTGGATAATGCCACCCCTAGCCCCCACTTCGGATGCCCTGGCCTGCAAATGCCGCACCTGCTTTCCATCTCCTGATGTCTGTGGCCACCAGCAAGCAGGCCCTCATTGAAGCTACTGCTGGGTGAGGGCTGGGGAGAGTGTCTGATGAGAGTGGTGTCACGCTGGGCTGCAGCTGTGGCGGCTGCATCCATGGCGAACTGCCTCATGGCACGTTCCTCCAAGTACTTCTGCTCCCACTTGGTCATGTCAGCCTCCAGTGCTAGGATCTGCTCCTCCTTTTCCCGTAGTTGCTCTGACAGCCGCAGGGCACTGATTTCCGAGGACCCACCACAGCCACCACTGGGGGTGCCTGCCTGTCTCTGGGGAGCAAGAAACACTGTGGTCAGAGGGGGAGGATAGGGGATGGTGGCAGCTGCTCCTTTTCCCCAGAGGACTCTTGCTTATGCATGTGCTTGTTCAACTATTCACAGCACACTCTCTCCCCACACCCTGGTCCTACTTCCAGAGACAGAGGGAACAGTATATGCCTGCCCTGAATCCTGCGGCCAAGGGTGTAGGTAAGATCAAGGGTGCCCTTGCATAGGTGACCATACGTTATCCTCCAAACTGGAAAAGAGTGCTAGTAGTAATTACACTGATGACCAGCAGGTCATCCTACCTCTGTGGGAACATCAGGTTGGGAGTGGAGAGAGAACTCCATCTGGTTTGTGTTTACAAGTCCAAAGCGGGGAAACAGACTCAAGATCCGATTAACCACCTTCCCTCTTGATCTCGGGGACACTTTGAAGAATTGGCTAGTTTTCTACATTAAGGTTCTTGACCTATTTTCTCCAAGACCAAGGAAACCAACCCTTGCTGCTGCTAAGACAGAAGCCCAAGTGCCACATGGTCAGGTGGCAGAGCCCCTGTTAAGACTGGTGGTTGAGAGGGCCCTCTTAGCAAGCGTAGAACTTTCTCTGGGGGCCTCTGCCTGGATCTGTACAGGAGCTCCCAAGCCTTCCCAGATGCTGTCTGAGCTGTCATTTCTGTAGGTCTTCCCAGCTCACCTGCTGTGCACGCAGGGCCTTGAGTTCCTGCTCCAGGCGCGTGCGCAGACGTAGCTCCAGCTGCTCACGCTTCTCGCATGCAGCCTGCAGCTGCCCCAGTGCCTGCTGCAGTCGTTCCACCTTCTCCACATAGGCCTGCTTCTTGCGCAGCTCCTCTTCGGCGCGCGCAGCCCGGCCCTGTGCATTGCTCAGAGCCTGCTCCAGCAACTCTGCTCGCCGTCGCTGGTCCTCAATGGCACCACGCAGCAGTGCAACCTCCCGCTCCAGCTTCTCCTGCTCCTGCTGCTGCTCATAGCCTGCAGGGAGAGACCGGGCTTCAGTCAGTGATTGGCTGGCCCCATGAGCACCCACCACATGCTGGGCTCTATGCTGACCACTGGATGAGCAGTTACATCTTATCCCTTCAGCAACCCTGGGAGTTAGGCACCATTGTTATGGGCAAAGACTGAAGCTCAGGTTAAGTCAGCAAGAATGGCAGCAACACCCTCTAGGGCCCTTTTAGCAATGACTGGGCTACACTGTCTGTCAGAACATGGACTTGCCACAGACAGCCCCAAACACTGTCTACTTGTGTCAGGTGTCACCATTTCCAAAACACAATTTTCCTGGACCCTCATGTTGAGACTGGCCAGGTTGGAGCTGGGATGCCCATTTGTATATGTTCAGATGAACTGTGACGTGCTCACTGCCCAAGAGGGGAACAGGGGCAAGAACCACAAAGTAGGCACAAACACACCTCAATCCATGGAAGCCACCAATAACAACCCCTCCAGGTAGGATCTGTGACCCCCCCACTTATAGGGAAGGAAACTTAGCAGGTGAAGTGATGCCAGGATGGGAACTCAAGTCAGCCTGGCTTTAAAAGACCAGGCTGGAGTGGGAGGCCACAAAGTGGGCTCCAGGGCTCATTCTGCAGGCCCACAGCCCCCTAGTTTAGTGCCACATTTCCTTCCATGGTTTGGAGAGAATACTAACACATGGGCAACCAGACTTATAAAGAAATGCGATCTTAGCAGCAAAATGGAATTGACTATCACCCAAAGATTTGTGTCTGAAGCTCTAACTATCCAGGCTTTGAAATCATCTTGTTAATTGCCAGGGGAACTCTGCTCAGAGACCCTTTCCATATAGCCAGGTTAAGCAAGGCCTGAATCAGACCACCAAGTCCCCCAGCTGATGCTGTAGGCTTAATCCACGTCCCATGCACCTGGCCCTTGGGATCACAGTCTAGCCCCAGGGAGTATGTCACCCACCTGCCTTGCTGGAAGCAAAAGGTGGGTGGGGTTCTGGGGTCTGTATGACAAGTTCAAAAGAACTGTCTATGTGACAGAACTATCCAGTAGGATCTTCTAGAGTGGAACCAGCACAGTAGGCACACATAGCCGCTGGCACTTGCAATGTGCCCAGCATGAAGGAGGAACCAAGTTTAAATTTCAATTTTAATTCATTTTCCCCTTTGGGTCATGTATGGCTAAATAGCTATCCTATAGGACAGTGCAAGTTCTGGAGTTGAAGGGTGAAGACTGGGGACCCAGGCAGGCAGAGAGAGGATCCATTTACTCAGGGCCCTAGGAGAGAAGGACCCAGGCAGGCAGAGAGAGGATCCATTTACTCAGGGCCCTAGGAGAGAAGGACCCAGGCAGGCAAAGGCAAGTCAGCTCTGGCTTAGGCCGAGAGACAGTGACCCTCTCCTGTGTGGGCTCATAGAGTCCCACAGCTGACAGGTTTCAGAAGGTTTATATTTCCTTCCAGTCTCAACATGACAGTCCCATCTTATGGTGCCAGAACCTGAGCGTCCAGGTCAGGGGGGACAGAGGTAGCAGAGCCAGGTGGCGGGACTCAAGGCCAGACCCTCAGGGAGGGCAGGGCCTGACCAGGGTGATGGTCTATTTGGCCTACACAATAGGGAAAGCATATCACTGGTGATAATGATCACACTTCCCCCCACCAGTGCTGACAGACCCCAGAAAAAAGAGCAACCGGAGACATTTTTCCTGAGGATTCTTTTCTCCATGGCTATTAAGAAGCAAGTTGTTGTGGCTTGGGTTTCCTTAGCACTGGGGGGTGGCGGTGGAGGTGGTGGCTGTGGACTCAGCTTACTGCTCCTGCTGTCTCCTACAACCACTGGGAGGCACAGGCCTTGGCCATCCTCAGTCAGCAGGATAAAACCATGGGTCTGTGGGGAGGAGAGCTCCTGGGTGGGGCGGAGAGAAGCCAGGAGACTGGGCAAGCTGTGGTGCGAGCAGGGGATGCATCTTTCTGTGAGGCTCCCCACTGGCACGTCCTTGTCTTCCTTTGTCTTTCCCAGTCTCCCTTTGTTTTTTGCTCTCTCCTCCCAAAGCCAGTGCTGGGCCTCACAGGGAATGAGCAGAGGGAGGAGGACTGGGAGCAGAACAGCCCAGAGGCTGTGGAATGCCAGGCATCCGGGTCACCCGCGGCTGCAAGATTAATGGCTCCAGTGAGTAGCCAAGAACAGCCTGGCGCTGGCTCCCCAGGGAGCGGAAACGCCTCCAGGTCAGCCTCCCTCCTCCCCCCTCCTCTATGCCTGCTCCCAGAAACCCGCCCAGTGACTTCCTTTCTTTGGCAGTGAGGCCCAAAAATCAGTCCTCTCTTATAGGACATCCCTATTCTGCCTCCTCCAAGCAAAGGACACTTAGGATTCCCAAGGGTGCCCCCTCCCCTGTTTCCCCACCACCATCGCCTCCCTCCCAGAGACCCAAGTCATGCCACCTCACCTGCCCAAATCAGTATAGTCAAGCCCACAACCCCCAGTGCTGTGCTCCCTCATTCTCTGCCTGGGCAGCCCTGTCCAGGGGTTCCACGGCCTCCTTGAAGGAAGAAGCTAATGTTGCCACCAGACCTCAGTCCTTAAACTGTTCCTCCACTGTGGACACTCCCTTCTATCTCTGCCACTCCCAGTAGGCCTCCTTGACTCCTGACTCCTTCCTCAAAGTCACCCTCCCCTAGACACCAGCCGTCCCATCCTACTTCTCTGCAAACTCCCCGGGGCCCCACGATGGCATGAAGTAGGAGCCTATAGGATCTCAATAACTAGTCTCTCTGTCTCCTCTCATTACTAGAGCTTCTTCCTGCTACTGAGACTTCCTCTGCCAAGTCCCTTCCTGGGCCTGCTCCCACCCACCATGTGCTTAGCACAGCTCTGCTGATGAACAGGTAACTGAAAGGACAGGCCAATAATGAGCTCATCCACTTCAAGCCTAGACCACTCCCATTAGAGGAGCCTCCCAAACCCCTTCTTTAGACCGCTGCCATTGGTTAAGCTGCAGGAACACATCCTGGCTTTTTATAGGTGTCTCCACTTGGCCGCTTTATTATTGTCCACCATGCTCTCCAGCTTATCACATTCCCACTGGGTATTCCCAAACTTTCTATTGTCTGGAGCTCCTTGGGAAGTTCAACCTCCTCCTTCTCTTTCATCCTACCAATCTCCATGGCTGTCCTGCCTCTGCCCCCCAACCCTCCCCGTGCCCACCACACCTCTGCTTCTGAATGACACCGCACTGATGGTTAGCACCAGAGCCAGCAGATCACTGCTCCCAGCCATACTTCTTATATCCACTGACCACCCCAATCAATAACTGGATTTATTGTTTGGAAGCACCCCTCTCCAACTTCAGTCTTGTGCCAGGTGCACAGTAGGCCTTCATTGAATCTGGGCTCAAAGCTTTGGCAAGGAGAGACCCAATCCTCCCTGTCCAGAGGGGGGCTGTGGTCCCACCACCCACACATCAGGCTTCTGGGTGGGACTCCTACTCACTCTGAGCTAGCAGCTTGGCCACCATGTCCTGACTGCCCACCTGGGCCTCCTGTGTCTTGCTCGCCAGTCGGCGGTTTGCAGATTCCAATCTCTCTGTTTCAAATGAAGGAAAGATGTTGTAAGGAAAGGTGTTTTCATATCAGTGAAGCTGCCTGCCTAGAGGTGTCCCCTGGAGGTCCTGTCTGGGGTTGCATCCTCCAACCTGGGGATGGGTTCACAGGGAGGAGCTAGGTCAACTCAGGGATGAATTAAGAGGGATCACCTCCATCAGGGGTGATAATCTGGGCCCACATAGGTGAGGGGTTCCTTGAGGGGTTGTGAAAGCTAGAATAGAGAGAAGCATCCCTCCGTTAGGGTGGCTCCCAAGGAGTCTCAGCTTTCAGTCAATTTGCAGAAGACTGTGAATTTTTCCCTAAGAGCAGAGGAGTCAAGTCTTCTGAAGACACTCCTGACCACTCCACTTGGGTAACCTGCTCTCACCTCTAAGATCCCTATTGAAATCCTGCAGCCTCCTCATTTCACTGTCCATCTTGTTCCGCATGGTCTTCTCCAGGGCCTCCCGCTTGGAAGAGGCTCTCGTGAGACTCTCATGGGCTTCAGAGAGCCGCTGGATCTCACTTTCCAACTGCAAGAGGCAGACAGCAGAGCTGAAGGGAAGGGCGTCAAGGTCCCCTCCACATGTGAAAGTTGATTTGCTACTTTCCATCAGGTGAAGAGGGAGAGGATAAAAAATCTAGGTGGGTTTAGGGAGATATCCATAGGTAGGCAAGACTTCAGGAATCAGGAATCAAGGGTGCTGACCACATATGCTAACTGAACCCAAGGCCAGGTAGCCTAGAAGTGGCTGGCCATAGGGAACATAGTTTCCCCGTGCCTGACATCCAGAAAGAAGTATTTTACTTTCTGTCTGGCTTCTGCTGAAAAATCTGGGCACAGGGGGCCAGGAGTGGGCACCAAGACTCTAGCCATGTTCTGGGAGTTTGCACTATCTTGGATACCACAGGGTAGCCGTGGAAGGCCTGATGCTTTGTGAACACACAGCTGGGAAACCTTCACTAAAAATGGGGTGCCAACCCCAGCCATAGATGCTTCTCCCTGGAGTAAGTATCCTCTGGCACCCCCCAAACAGGGCCACGGCCCTTGGCTGCCCCTCCCACTTGGCCAAGGGTAGGTTCTGCACGTGCTCCCAGCTGAGCTGACCTGGGATTCCAATAAGTTGCTCGTTTATTTTTTTCCAAGAGGAGGGGCTTTCTCTTTGGCCAGGGCTTGCCTAGAACAGACTTGCTGTTGTGTGGGGGACACAAAGGACTCTCTGTGGGAGGTGTCCGAGGGAAGGGGTGTGTGCAAGGGAAGGGTGTGAGTGTGCAGGGAGCTGGTGAATGGGCTCTTTCTAATCACCCCTGGCCAGCAACTGCTCCTACTCCAGGCTGTAGGCCCCCCGGCTGCTCCCCAGCTGTCTGGAGTCAGGGAGGGAGGGTACATTAGGAATAAGGAGGTTGGGGGTAGAGGAGCAGATGAGAAGCCCAGTCAGACATAAGCTTTCAGACTCTTCAGCCTTCCCTTTGCCCCCTCCCCACTTGGGGGTCCTTTCTCCCACTTCCTACCCCCCAACTCCCTCCCCACCCCCCCACGTCCCCCCCCCCCCCCCCGCCGTGAGGTCCCACCAGGGCCTACCTTCTCGATGCGGCCAGCCTTCTCTGCTGAGCTCTCCAGTTCCCTCTGCAACTTCTCGTTGTCCCTCTGCAGCCTGGCATTTTCCCTTAGCACCATCTCCATCTGGGCCAGGTGGGCACTACCCGAGGAGCTTGAGGAAGATTGGGTGCTTGCTGGCCCTTCCACCCCAGGTGGACTGAGAGAACCTAGGGGGCCATGGCTGAGAGCAGCTGGGTGTGGGGGCGGGGGGTGTTCCAAGGGCTGCTGCAAGTACTGGTACTGCTGCTGCTGCTGCTGGAGGAACACGGGAGGCACCTGGGCCTGCAGGATCCTGGGGAACAGATGAGACGGTGCTCAGAGACTACAAAGACCCCAATAGCTCCCACCCCAGAGCAGGCCCCAGCTTCCCCAGTCCTCCAGGGCACACAGGGAGGATGCACTGACTCAGTCTCTCCCTGGTATTAGGCAGAGACCAGTGAGGCAGGCCTTTTCCATATGGTGTCCCCAAGATTTTCAAGCACCAAGGGAGCAGGACTAGAGGGGTTATTCTCAGGGTGCTTGTTGCACGCCCTGCCTCACCATGGCCAACACCTTGGGATCAGCCTGAGGCTTCTAAGTAACCAGTACTTAAAGCATCTTTAAAAATGTACCCCTGATCCTTCTAATCAATAGAAGTTTCTTTTTGGATCTGGAGGCCACATTAGTCATCACTGGGCACACAGCCCAGTGATGGATCACTAGGTCCTGGATCACTAGGTGGCGGGACCCAGGCAGCTAGCCCTGTCTGTGATGAGCCCCATTCTCAGACCTTCCACTAACACCTGCCAGCGCAGTTCACGCACTCATGTTTTCTCCTTCCTATTTTGGGTCCTGTCACCCCTCCTCACAGAAACATTTTTAGAAGACTGTGGCTAAGGTTAGAGTAGCAAGACAGATGTTAGGATAAGAGTCTGCGCTCTCCACTGTCTGACAAAATAGGCATTCACATCCTGGCTTAACCCCATGGGGCTGGTATGCCACTGCTCAAGCCTGGACGCAAGCATCTCCAGCCTCGAGGGGGTCATCTGGGCTATACAGGTCTGGCAGGTGCTGCCACAGTGGGGGCCCAACCTCCACTCTCCAAGTGGTGACTGCAGCATACTCTCTGTGTCAACAATAAATGAGGTCCCAGAGGCAAAGGGGCCGCCTCTGGACCACTGAATAGCCTGAGTTTAGGGATCCTGTTCTCCTGGCCTCAAGCATTAGTGTAACATCTTCTCCAGGGCTCCCTGTGAGGGAAGGAAAAAAGAGCAAGAGGTAGGGGGAGTCCCAGAGCCTTCTGGGATCTTGTGACTCCAAGTGTAAAAGAACAGACTGCCTCTGTTTCACCAAGTTTTCCAAGTCCCAGAAGCCCCACAAGAATTTAATTTCACTTCTGGGCCCACCCTCCCCCTCCAGCCTAGGCATCCCTGCTCTTCTTAGAACCCTAGGCTGAAAGGAAAGTCCCCACCCCCAGTTCGTTTCCAACAAACAGCTCTCAGCTGATCAGTCAAAAGGAGGTTAGACAGATGTACTCTTCTCACTGCCTGAGGTGGAGCTTCCAGTAATGGCTGAGCCGAGGGTCCCCACTGGAATGTCCAAACTCCCCCTGCATTGCTAAATGTGGCATTCTTGGGGTTGCTTTAAGAAATTGCTCCCCCCTGCACTGAGCCAGGCAGACACAACTGGCATTCTTTGGGGATGACTTAGCTCTGAGAAAGAATAGTCTTCACACTTGCTCTGCCTTCCCTGAGTTCTGCCCCTCCCCCACCCTCTCCTTTTTGTTCTCCTGCAAAAGGTCTACTTCCTTTCCATGATATTATCTTTTCCTGCAGGGTTCAACAAGGCTGGTCCAAAAGAAGAAACCCCGACTCAGCTTCCGAAACTCTCTCTGACCGATCCCTGAGAAGGGAGATAAGGAGGGGGAGCTTGGGAGGTAGAGGCTGCAGAGAATGCACAGGGCCCCATCCACTGGTTCCTCCATACCAACACCATGGCGTCACTCATTTCTCGAGAGCAAGGAAAGGCATCTTTCCCAGGAAAGGCCGAATGGTGGGAAAGTGAGTGACTTAATGAAGTCTCAGCAGGCACAGAGAGAACCAGACTGTGACCTTGAGCCACAGAGGAAGGGAGCCTGCAAATCCATAGGCCCCTCTGGCGAGTTTCCAGACCATCGTGGGGGGAGAAGCAGCATGAAGGGTACATGTCAGCTTCTTAGAGAAGGTGCTTGGCCGAGGTTCTCCCTAGAGGCAGAGCCTCTCATCTCTAAACTATCTGGGGTTCCTGCCTCCTCCATTCTCTCTGCTTTCATATTCTACCCCTCAGAACCCATTCTCTACATGCAGCCAAAGGAACCTTTTTAAAAAGTTGATCAATCACAATGGCTTCCTTTCACATTCTGAACTAAAGTCTAGGTGCTGAGCAGGGCCTCGCAGCCTCTCCTGAGCCTCCACAGAAAGGGGCTTGCCTAGCCCCAGAGCCCTCTCCCATCACTGGCTCCTGCCACATGGAATACATGGAAAAATATGGAAGGAAATGAAGAGCAGAGAATGCTGCCTTGGTGTAGGGTGGGGAGAGGTATCTAAGAAGGTCACCCGGTCCTTCCTGCCTCCTATTAGGAATGCCTCCCAATATCACTGAAAGCATTCTGTCCACTTGCTCTCCAGAGGAGGAGGTCCCATCTTCTTCACACTTAACTTGGAGATGGTTTGTGAATATTCCCAACAACTATCTTTGGAAAGTTCTTTCTGAAACCTAACCTTTAACTCCTGCTGTATTTCACACCCTTTGGGAACCCATTACGTCATTGCTACAGTTAATCAGACAATGGTGTCCGTCTCTGAATTAAAGCTAGTGATACCACTCAGTCCTAAGTGACCTTGCCTATGGCCTTCTCTCCAACTCTCCAACAGGGATTAGTTGCTCCCTCTTAGGAAGGAGTAGGTTTCACCACTCTCTTCTGGGGTTGGTAGGAGTGGGGGGGGGGGGAGTGTCTTGCCAGGCCTGACAAAGGTGGAGGCACTCCACTCTGGGAGAACCACACTGCAAGAAAAGGCCGGGTGGCTGTTACCTGACTTCAGCATGCTGGAAGTGTGGGCTGCCTCGGACGCGGTACCGAGGGTCGGTGACGGCAGCGGTGGCCTCATGAGCTAGCACAACTTGGTGTGGGTACTGAGGTGGAGGTCCTCGGGGCTCTGGGCCTTCAGCAGGGGGGCCCCTGGGTTGGGGGCCCTGCTGGTTGCGGGCCAGCTGAGGGAAGCTGTGGGAGGAACTCATGTTGCTGGGGGCCCGGGCACCATTCCTCTCCAGGGACAGCTGCAGGAGGCGTTCACTCAGGGAGCGCACGTGCCCATGCCTCAACTCCCGCAGGGCTTCATCTTGCCTCCGATTGCCTCCTGGGGCCCCTCGGGGATCTCGGTCCCCAATGTGAGGCCGGGGCCCCGCCTGCTGGGCTGCATAGTACTGCGAATGGGCTTTTGCCTCCTCATAAGTGGGCAGCTCCTCGCCCTTGCTGGGCTGTGGACACAGCCGGTAGAGGGTGTTCTCTGCCAAGTGGGTCTCACCACCCTGATGCTCCTGGCCCTGGGGTTCCTGCCTCGTGGCCTGCTGTAGCACCTGGCTGTCCTCGGGTGCCAAGATCTCCAGGGAGGCTTGGGGGCTCCCTGTGCCCCCAGCCCCGGCCCCACCCCGCAGGGCCTGCTGCTGGATGGCCAGCAGCGTGCGTGTCTCAGTCAGGTTGCCGTAGCGCAGTTGCTCCTGGATAAGGCGGTGCAGGACTGTCCCAGAGGAATCTTCCAGAGTCCTCATGCTTCCTCAGCTTGCACACACCTGTCTGGACAATGGCCAGCAGCACCTGGCCCCAGAGCACCTGAGAGGAGAGAAGGAAGTCTCATCAGTGGGAGCACATGGGAAAGGAGGGCAGTTTCCATTACAGCCTGCTCTAAAGCATAAAGGTAAAGAACGAAACAATGGATCCTGGGTTCAAATGCCAGTGCTGCCACCTGCTGATTAAGGCAAGTTACCTAACCTCTGTGCCTCAGTTTCTCCATCAGAAAAAAGGAAAGAATATGCTTGCCTCAAGGACTTGACAATTAAAAGTAGCAATGGGTGTTGAGCTCCTGGTGTCTTGTCAATCTTGGCAAAAGATTATTATATTCGTAGAGATTTACTGAGTCTAGAGAAAGACAACACTAACCTACTTGGTATGAAGCTGGAACTGCTGGATCCTGCAGTCAGCCACCTATCACAGTCTTATGGGAGACTCTAGGTCATATCTAACCATTGAGCTATCCTGCCCAAGAGTGGACAGGGCGGGTGATAAAGAATGAGCCCCATCCAGAAGACCCAGACAAACAATTCCCAGCACCCCCTAGAATGAAGAAAGCCTGACTCCTAGCCTTGGCACAGCTAACTCACCACCCTTTATCCCCACTGAGTCCTCTCTGTCATGGGATGACCTTGGCAGTCACTCTGCAAGATGAACAGGAAGAAGGAGAAGATGCACCTTGATTGGTGGAAAGGAATGAAAGAGGAGAAGCTACAATAGGACAATGGTTTTGTGAGATGAGACCGAAGGTGTCCCCCATCAGAAATAGTGTGTTGATAGTAACTGTATGAGTGCTCTAGGGAAAATGAGAGGCTAGTACAATGTCTGCTTTTATGATTACATCCCTCCACCCCCACCCCACGCTACTTGGAAAAGTCCCTGATGGACCTGTAGACACAGAGGGGACTGGCACCAGTAACATCTACTTGGGCAAAATGGAGGAGGAAGGAAGCAATTGGGAGTCTCTTGGTTGCAGGCACTTGGGTCAGGGGGCTGGGAGCTTCCAGGAAAGGGGGTTCCTTTCTGGGTCTGGGCTCCCAGAGGCTCATGGCCTGGAGGGCTGTCAGCCTCATCCAGCTTCCTTTCCATAACCTCCTCCAACACAAACCTCCCTACAGGGATTCAGGGAAAACCAAACAAAACCCACACCTCCACAGGTCCTGTGTGCAGGGGCGAGTGAGAGGAGTGCACCCTCTGCTACAAAACTAGCCCTGGTGCCCTGCTCCAGTCAGGACTCCCAGCCCATGAGCGGTCATTCCCCATGCCCTCCCTCCTCCCAGCTGCCTCAACTGGGGAGTGGGAGACCAAGTCAGAAGGCCAGCTCTGTAAGCAGCCTGCTCCAAGCCCATTCCTGTCCCCAGCCCGCCTCCACACACACACACACTCCACAGTTACCAAAGGCAAAGCTCTTTGCCTTTGAAGAGACACGAATCTCTTCACCCTAGACTTTCATCCATCAGGCATTTCCTAAATTAATTGGTCTGGACTTACTTCCGCAGAAGAGGCCCAGGGAATTCAGAGCTTCCCGAACCACTCCAGGACCCTCCCCCGCAACAGTGTGCCTGGGCGCAGGAAACACCCCTTCTCATGCAGAAATCTTCCTCGCCAAACCCCTTAGATGTCCGCCTTACAGTTGAACGATGACTAAAATTTTCGTCCCTCCGAGCCGAGCGGGGCACTGAACCCCCGCTGCGCTTGCGCCCCATTCTCTGAACCGCCCCATTCTCTGACCCCCCCGCCCCCCTTTCTCTGCGAGCACGCATCTCAGGTTTTTGCCTGGGCTCACGCTAGTTCACAGAACCAAAGCGAGGGGCCGCAGGCCGGATCGCCACCCGGCCGGGGTCCAGCCCTACCCGACTTCTGGCGGAGCGCGCGCAGCCGGCGATCCCGAAGCGCCTCAGCGAGCGGCCGCAGGCCCCCGAAGTCAGGCGCGACGGGCTCGCCTCCGCCCTCCCCCCGGAGCCCTCTTTGTTTTCCAAATGCTCCAGCGCTGACGTCAGCGGGCTGGACGGCCGGCTGCATTCTTTCTAAGTGAGAGCCAGTTCGTGGCTCCGAGAGGATTTTCCAAGGAAGACAAAGAGGAATTCTTGAGTTAGTGGGGGGCAAGGACACCTGTACCCCCACCAAACCAAGTCAGCCCCCTGGGCCCTGCAACCCGAACTCGGAGCGGCGCCTCCAGATCAGTTTCGCGTTCCTCTCCGGGACCCCCGACCCAAAACACAGGGGACCCCGCTCTCCCCAGAGGCTGCGCCCTAGCCCAGCTCCAGGGGACCAGCGCGCTCCAGGGGACCAGCCCCCCACGGGCTCCACGCGGCGCCGCGCCGGCAGCGCTGTCCTTGCTGGGCTTCGCGGCCGCCTGGCACCGGCGCGCTGCGCCCTCGGGGAGCTCGGCCCGCGGGGCTGCGGCTCCGGGAAAGGGCCGGGCTGCGCTGGGGCTCGGGCTGAGGGGCGACTCTGCGGGCCCCGGCGCCACCCCCGGCGCGAGCAGCCTTTCTTACCGCTGCAGCCCGCGGGTGCTCGGCGCTGTCAGACCCGACGACCCAGCGCGGGGCGGCCCTGCTCGGCTCGCGGCGCTCGCGGTGTGCACTGGGCGGCGGCGCTGACGCTCTGGCCGCTCCGGCCCCAGCGCGCAGCCCCAGGGTCGGTCCGCGCCGGAGGCGGCTGCTATGCCAGGAATGTGAGAGTTTCAGGTTCCCCCTCGGGATCAAAGCGAACCACAAATAACCTCTCAGCCCCGCCCTCTCCAGTCCTCCGCCCCCTCCCGCTCCCTCCTCCCGGCCCCCGCCTTCTGCCCGGGAGGCGGCGCTGCGGGCCGGGCGCCCCGCCGCCCCGCGCCCCTGCCCGGCGCCCCCAGCCCGCCCCGCGCTTTGTCTTCGGAACTGATGGGGACAAATGAATCCAGCTCGGCCCATGACAGCCTCTAGCCCGTCCCCACCTTCCTCTCACCCTCCATTCCCTTTGGCGGGACCACACCGATGGATTCACATCGAGTGTCCATGAGGGAGACTGAGTGTTGCTGCGGGAAGAGGGGGGCGGGAGGGGGCAGCGTGTGCATGTGTGTGCGCGCGCGTGTGCGCGTGCAGAATGAAGAAGGACTGCAAAGATGCTTTATCCACCCGGTTCACTCCGTGTCCCGCAGGAAGACGTGACAGGTCCCAGCCACCGAGCCCTTTGTCTCCGAGCCCCTGCTGGCACCACCAGCGCTTCAGTGTGTGAATTGCACTGGATTGCTTACAAACACCGTTGCCTGTCTCTTGCAGAACCTGTCTCCACAAGAAGTGGGGAATCTGGGTGGGAAAATCTTCTGGTTAATCAGCCACCCCCCCAACCCCCACCTGTGTCCAATTCCTCCCAAGGAGTTATTATCCTTGTGTTATAAATAAGGAAACCAAGGCTCAGAGAAGTTGATTACCTGCCCAAGGTCGCACACAGATTAAGTGGTAAAGATTAAGTGGTAATCACTGGGCTGTTCAGTTTCTCATTCTCAAAACCTGGCTACTAGAATCCAGGCTCCCTAGAGGGACAGGGCAGGTTCTTGGAGCCCTCCTTCTCCTCATCTGCCCTCTTTCTGTTCCAGTCTCTTTCTCATTTCCCCTACATCCTGTCAGCCAGGGACCCTCCCATATGTCCTCTCCTGTAGCTCCTGCTATTCCTCTTCTGCATGCAATTCTCTTGATCTCCAGGTCCCTTCCTTTTCTACCTTCCAGATGGTCTGATCCATCTTGTGGGGGGAAACCCCTTCCTCAGAAAGCCCAGTATAACACAACATCCTATTTGTCCTTCCCCCTTCCCCCAAATTTGTGTGCCATACCTGAGCCTGGCTTACCCTGAATCTGTCAGCACCTCCATGTGGAGGCTCAGTCCCTTCTGTCTAGTCTACCATCCACTGGGAGAGTAGGGACTTTTTCCATGCCTCCTCCCCTCACCAGGGAGTCTGCAATTCCTGTATCTGCTGGAGGGGACCATGACAAGAAAAGTTTGTAAGTTCAAAGAGCTATTTACAAGCCAGGGACATTGTTAATTTTTAATAAAACCCTCCCCCCAAATGTGTAATTTGTGTGTGATTTACTTGGAAATCAAACATTACATTTCAAATAGTGATCAGCTCTGAGACAAGTGAGAAAATAAGTCATCTGTGCCAAGCGAAGGGATAATTGGCTCTCTAAGAACCATCTCACTAGACACACTAGGTAGGAATTTCAGAAATAAAAGGGAAGAGAGAAGAGGTCCCCAGGTGACTTTACCGTGTGGGTAGCATTCTTCTTGAAAACACTAGATAGAAGTGTCAGAGGTGTTGACATGTATACGCTGAGGTTACAAACAGGGGAGAGGTCACATGGTACAGTCCTACCTTTCAAGGGCATTTTGGGGGACACCTGACAAAATGTTTGACATTCTTGAGATGGTTGCAGAAAGAGGATTGGCTGAAGGCAGCTAGAGTTAAGGAGGTATATCTGGAGTCGGCAAGCTTACTGCAGTTCTAAATGGGTTCCAGTGCTCACCTCTCTGTCCCTGAGCAAGAGAGGGATCCCAAAACCAGGATGAAGAATTTACATGTGCTTTTTTCTTCTTTTCTCTTCTCTGCAGGAAGGATGGAAGGCAGGGCCACCCAGGCAGTGTTGGGCAGGGCCAGGAGCCTCAGTGGATTCTGCCTAAGCTGGTAGCCACACCTGGCTCTATAGGGTGGTTGGTTGGATGAAAGGGTCATTGCAGCTCAGATAAGCCAAAGGCAGGTGTGCACAGGTGGGACTTGGCTAGCCAGGCAGCTAACATACTTCTTTGCTTACAGCAGTGAGCCATTGCTTTCTTCCTTCCAGCTCTGTCCCTCTCTCCCTTACCCTCCCTTCCCTTCCATGCAGGTAATAATCCTTCCCAGATGACAGTGTGGCTGGCTGGATCTGGAATCCTGCCCAGGAAAGATGCAGAGGTGACCCAGTTCTCAGAGCCAGCCAGGCTTGAGGCCTTTACACTGCAGTGTGCAGCTCTCAGGGGTGTGGCTGCATCACAGATATGTACAGGGCTTAGCAAGGAATCCACACACCCTTTTTGGACCCTTTGTCCTTAGCCTGAAACCGGGCTCAGGTATGGATCTGGGCCTATCATATGGCTTTAGCCTGGCCTTGTCTTGTGACCCACTGCACCCAACAGGAGGATGCGGGTAAATTCTAAGCTGGACCCTGGTAGTCCCTTCCCATGGAACTGCGGAGAGAAGGGCCCCGTATTTCCTAAATAGTTAATTGGTGGAGGGTCTCTAAGACCCAGGTGGCAACATCAAAGGAAGATTCTGCAAGTCTGGAATCCTGCCTGGGATAGTAAAATTCCGCCTTCTGCCTCCCCTAGACACTTCCCTTGACAGGTTATGAGAAACAGAAAGCCCATCGGAATCTGCATTAGGGAGCAAATTCACAGGACATTGGCATGGACATTCCAGAGCTCCATTTCCAAGAGTTAAACATGGTGCTTTCTTGTCTTTGTCCTTCTGTAAGCCCCGAGGGTCACTGGCAACTTTTCTTTAACTCCCTCCACATCTCACGGACTCTAGAATTTCTCCTCAAGTCTTTTCCTTTCACTGCCCCCTTCTTCCATTCTAATCTAGGCATCAGGCCAGGAGTATCCATCAGACACGGTTTTCCTCATGGATTCTGCATTTGGGGGCCTTAACTCTTCCAGAGTTGGAGCATATTTTGAAATTAGGCCTCATAATCGTTGAGATAAGAGGGTGCTGTCCTGAAAGAAAGAGCTGCATTTTCCAAATTGTATGTACTCCTTGGGGCCTGGCCTTCATTTGTACCCCATAGCTTCTGATGCTTCCAAAGCTCAGGGTGGTGAAGATCAGGGCTCCTGCTGGTGGTGAGTCCTACACTGGGGGCAGAGCTCCGAATGTTGTTTCCATTTTCTCCCCTTTCTCTGGGGTCTGTCACTGCCCAAATTTCACTGGTGCTGCGTGGAAGATGTGTCCAATGGAGGTTGGTGAATACATGGAGAAACCGCAGGAGTGCACCCTTCAATGAAACCCTGTCTGGGCAGCCACCAGGCTGGGGAAGGGCACACTAAGAATTGGCACACCGGAGGCAGTAAATAGGGGAGTGATTTTGAAATATCGATGTGACCCTAGATATATGCTTTTTCTGTAAAACTACCTCTACCGTGTGGGTACTGATTGGATGGGTTTGCCCGGGTGATTTGAAAGGCCCTCTGCTCTTGGCAAGAGGCTGCAGGGGAGATGAGGAGGTCCCTGAGCTTGCAGGTTCCTTGTAGAAAAGAACCCAGAGCAGGTTTTTGTGACTGCTAGGCCAGGGCCAGTATGATGAAAGAGTGCCCCCTGGTGAACCTCATTCTCAGCTGCTGGGGTTGCTCAGTCCAGGGTTCCTGAGATTGGATCCCTATGGGGGGGCGGTGTTTCCAGGGAACAGGTGTCTCCTAGGCCCCTCCAAGAATGGGCTAATGTCCCTAATTGTGTTCTGAGCTTTTCTCCCATTTTACCACTCCTGGGCTTTCACATGATCTTTAAAGAGACACTATCTTTTTTTTTTTTTTTAAGATTTATTTATTTATACAAGAACAGGGGGACAGACCAGATGCATGGGAGGGTGAGAGGATTCACCAGAGAGAGTGGGGAACAGAACAGGCAGACTGATGGAAACACACTGCTGAGGGGAGCAGCGGGTGAGACAGGAGAGGTCTGCTGTGCCATGTGGGTATCTCCTTGCCCGGTGAGGATCGAACCAACACTGCAGAGGCTGCGGACAGATTCACAGCACTGTGCTCAACTGCCTGCGCCACCAGGGAGGCCCAAGAGACACTATCTTTAACATATACAACCTTATATCATTGACATTGGGGAAACACCTTGTATCTGGTCACTCATGCACCCTTCCACACATCTCTTCTGTATTGTACTTCAACTGTTCAATCAACAACATTTCCTGGGTACCAACTCTGAGACGGTCTGATGAGTCAGAGAGGGTCTCTGTCCTTGGGGAGCTCTCATGGAGGGCAGGGAAGAAAGAGGTTAGTGCCCTAGAGTGGGGAGGAAAGGAGTGTGGACACAGGAGGGGAGTCAGGAGGGGCTGCTCAAGCTGAGTGTTGCGGGCCAAGGCAGAAAACCCACACTGGAAGGCCAGACCCCCTGAGCAGGAATGTTGTACCATTCATGGGTGGCTAATAGCCATGCTACCTATGTTCTCGTTCTTGATTGTGGTATACACAGGCCAAAACTTACGAAATTGCACACATTATGTAATTTATTGTAAGTCAAGTACATATCCATTAAAAATAAAGACAAAATTTAAAAAGTCAAATAGTACTACAATGTAAGAAACTGCCCTGTTCCACTCTTCTTCCCACCAAGTTTCACCCGCAAGAGATAATCTCTTTCAAGTCTTTTGGGATGTTCTGGTATTTATACCTGAATTTCTGAAACATCTTCTTTTCTTCTGTTACATAGTGTTTCTGTTTTAGGTGTTATCAATCTACTTTCTACTATGAAAATTTAGGATTTCACTCTATTACACACACCACACACACACACACAGACACTCATATACACATTGCTCTTCTTCCATCCTATTGGTATGTTTATATGACATTTTATTGGAGTTAAATGACTATTCAGTGTATATATTATTAAGATTATGTAATGTCATTAATAATGGAATCACATGCTGTGCCATGATTACTTTTTTTCCCCCAC